TTGTTTTGGGTAATTTGGAAAATTTTTCTTTATAAAGATTTTCAAGACATTTGATGTTTCTTTGTTTTTTGAGTTTTTTAAGTGATAAAGAAATAAAAACAATAATATTTTTATTGTATTTACAATTAACACCTACTTTGAAGGGAAGAAGACAAATAAAATTTATGTTTTGAAAAGAAAGATTTGAAAATTAAATATTTTTCTGGAGATAACATTGAAAATTGTATTATTTGGCCCCTAAAAGTATGCTTTACTTAATATTTGTTTAATAAGCCTAAAACTAAACCTCATTGTTTTTCAATATTTTTCTCCTTCAATTAAATTTACATTAATGTTGACATAATTAGTTATATTTGACATTTAAGGTCTAGACTATAGACTACCCAGGAAAAACTTACATTGAAAAGTAATGAGTTAAATAGCTAATAAAACCTCTTTTCACTACTTCTTTAGCATTTTAAGTCATTATTTTAACACGGTGATGTCATTGGAGGCAAGTACTTCTACGCACGCTTACAAATAGGGACTTAAAGAAGTACTTGCAATTTCCCTTACAAAACAGTTGTTGAGTAAGTTGTTTGTTTTTTAATAATAAAAAGAGCCAGCTAGAATACGAACCAGGGGCTTCGGTTTGTTAGTCAAATGTTCTACACACTGCACCACTGCTTAGCTATTTTATTGCGCGTCAAATAATGGTTTTCACAAACAAAACTAATTTTTTTTTTTATTTTTTTAAAACTCAATTCTTAAAACGCAATTAAATAAAATGTGCAAACAAAATGACAAAGCCGAAAATAAAGTACTTCTATATCAGATTATAAGAAAGTCATTACTAGAGTACTTCTATGTAATGCAGACGGTAAGTAATAGTCATTGAAAAGTAAGTGGTTATGGAAGTACAACCCATTACCGAGTTTTTGCTGGGCTAGACTATAAACTAGTCGTCTATTGTAGTCTATATAGTCTAGTCTATATAGTCTAGTGTATATAGTCTAGTCTATATAGTCTAGTCTGTCTAGTCTAGTCTATAGTCTAGTCTATAGGTCTATAGTCTAGTCTAAGTCTAGTATATAGTCTAGTCTATAGTCTAGTCTATAGTCTAGTCTATAGTCTAGTCTATAGTCTAGTCTATAGTCTAGTCTATAGTCTAGTCTATAGTCTAGTCTATAGTCTAGTCTATAGTTCGTCTATAGTCTAGTCTATAGTCTAGTCTATGTTAGTCTATAGTCTAGTCTATAGTCTAGTAGTCTAGTCTATAGTCTATAGTCTAGTCTATAGTCTAGTCTATAGTCTAGTCTATAGTCTAGTCTATAGTCTAGTCTATAGTCTAGTCTATAGTCTAGTCTATAGTCTAGTCTATAGTCTAGTCTATAGTCTAGTCTATAGTCAAGTCTATAGTCAAGTCTATAGTCTAGTCTATAGTCTAGTCTATAGTCTAGTCTATAGTCTAGTCTATAGTCTAGTCTATAGTCTAGTCTATAGTCTAGTCTAGTCTAGTCTATAGTCTAGTCTATAGTCTAGTCTATAGTCTAGTCTATAGTCTAGTCTAGTCTAGTCTAAGTCTAGTCTATAGTCTAGTCTATAGTCTAGTCTATAGTCTAGTCTATAGTCTAGTCATAGTCTAGTCTAAAGTCTAGTCTATAGTCTAGTCTATAGTCTAGTCTATAGTCTAGTCTATAGTCTAGTCTAAAGTCTAGTCTATAGTCTAGTCTATAGTCTAGTCTATAGTCTAGTCTATATCTAGTCTATAGTCTAGTCTATAGTCTAGTCTATAGTCTAGTCTATAGTCTAGTCTATAGTCTAGTCTATAGTCTAGTCTATAGTCTAGTCTATAGTCTAGTCTATAGTCTAGTCTATAGTCTAGTCTATAGTCTAGTCTATAGTCTAGTAGTCTAGTCTTAAGTCTAGTTATAGTCTAGTCTATAGTCTAGTCTATAGTCTAGTCTATAGTCTAGTCTATAGTCTAGTCTATAGTCTAGTCTATAGTCTAGTCTATAGTCTAGTCTATAGTCTAGTCTATAGTCTAGTCTATAGTCTAGTCTACTAGTCTAGTCTATAGTCTAGTCTATAGTCTAGTCTAGAGTCTAGTCTATTAGTCTAGTCTATAGTTAGTCTATAGTCTAGTCTATAGTCTAGTCTATAGTCTAGTCTATAGTCTAGTCTATAGTCTAGTCTATTAGTCTAGTCTATAGTCTAGTCTATAGTCTAGTCTATAGTCTAGTCTATAGTCGTAGTCTATAGTCTAGTCTATAGTCTAGTCCTATAGTCTAGTCTATAGTCTAGTCTATAGTCTAGTCTATAGTCTAGTCTATAGTCTAGTCTATAGTCTAGTCTATAGTCTAGTCTATAGTCTAGTCTATAGTCTAGTCTATAGTCTAGTCTATAGTCTAGTCTATAGTCTAGTCTATAGTCAGTCCTATAGTCTAGTCTATAGTCATAGTCTATAGTCTGTCTATAGTCTAGTCTATAGTCTAGTCTATAGTCTAGTCTATAGTCTAGTCTTAGTCTAGTCTATAGTCTAGTCTATAGTCTAGTCTATAGTCTAGTCTATAGTCTAGTCTATAGTCTAGTTCTATAGTCTAGTCTAATAGTCTAGTCTAATAGTCTAGTCTATAGTCTAGTCTATAGTCTAAGGTCTATAGTCTAGTCTATAGTCCCTAGTCCTAGTCTATAGTCTAAGTCTATAGTCTAGTCTATAGTCTAGTCTATAGTCTAGTCTATAGTCCTAGTCGATAGTCTAGTCCTATAGTCCGAGTCTAATAGTCTAGTCGATAGTCGAGTTCTATAGTCCTAGTCCTATAGTCTAGTCTATTAGTCTATAGTCTAGGTCTATAGTCCTAGTCTATAGTCTAGTCTATAGTCTAGTCTATAGTCTAGTCTATAGTCTAGTCTATAGTCCTAGTCTATAGTCTAGTCTATAGTCTAGTCTATAGTCTAGTCTATAGTCTAGTCTATAGTCCTAGTCTATAGTCTAGTCTATAGTCTAGTCTATAGTCTAGTCTAGTCTAGTCTATGTCTAGTCATAGTCTAGTCTATAGTCTAGTCTATAGTCTAGTCTATAGTCTAGTCTATAGTCTAGTCTATAGTCTAGTCTATAGTCTAGTCTATAGTCTAGTCTATAGTCTAGTCTATAGTCTAGTCTATAGTCTAGTCTATAGTCTAGTCTATAGTCTAGTCTAGTCTAGTCTATAGTCTAGTCTATAGTCTAGTCTATAGTCTAGTCTATAGTCTAGTCTATAGTCTAGTCTATAGTCTAGTCTGTAGTCTAGTCTATAGTCTAGTCTATAGTCTAGTCTATAGTCTAGTCTATAGTCTAGTCTATAGTCTAGTCTATAGTCTAGTCTATAGTCTAGTCTATAGTCTAGTCTATAGTCTAGTCTATAGTCTAGTCTATAGTCTAGTCTATAGTCTAGTCTATAGTCTAGTCTATAGTCTAGTCTATAGTCTAGTCTATTGTCTAGTCTATAGTCTAGTCTATAGTCTAGTCTATAGTCTAGTTTACAGTCTAGTCTATTGTCTAGTCTATAGTCTAGTCTATAGTCTAGTCTATAGTCTAGTCTATAGTCTAGTCTACAGTCTAGTCTATAGTCTAGTCTATAGTCTAGTCTATAGTCTAGTCTATAGTCTAGTCTATTGTCTAGTCTATAGTCTAGTCTATAGTCTAGTCTATAGTCTAGTCTATAGGCTAGTCTATAGTCTAGTCTATAGTCTAGTCTATAGTCTAGTCTATAGTCTAGTCTATAGTCTAGTCTATAGTCTAGTCTATAGTCTAGTCATTAGTCTAGTCTATATTCTAGTCTATATAGTCTAGTCTATATAGTCTAGTCTATATAGTCTAGTCTATATAGTCTAGTCTATATAGTCTAGTCTATATAGTCTAGTCTATATAGTCTAGTCTATAGTCTAGTCTATATAGTCTAGTCTATATTCTAGTCTATAGTCTAGTCTAAAATTTATTTCTAGGAACCAATCAAATTTTCCCTTATTTACCAAAAAAAGCTATTTATTGTTCCCTTAAGTATAAACTTTTTACCACAAAAGTTTTGTTGTTTCAAGAATATTTGCACCTCCCCTTTTCTCACCAATTATCTTCCTTATACCTCTCCCCTTTCTGCTTTCTTCTCCCCTTCAAATACACATTTTCCACCACATTTCTTACGGCTCTTGAAAATTTGTCTTCGCACACGAAAACCTTTTGAAAATAGAAAATACACAAACTTTTTACCATTATATTTATTTAACTAATTAATAAACTCCCATTAACAACAAAATAAAATAACATTTATTTAGCAATTTATATCATTAACTTTAAGCCAAAGTAAAAACAACTTAAGTGGCTCAAGAAGTTTTAGAGAATTTTCAGTTCAAACCACAAATAACGACAAAAAAACGCAAATATTTACGCAAGAATTTAATTTGACAAAACCAAGAAGAAACAACAAAAACACTTAAGCCAAAAAAGGTCTTAAAGAAACCAAAAACTGAATTAACAAAAATTGTTGTTAAATTATAAAACAGAATTTTAAAATGTTTTTTTTTTTACGAAAAAACTGCTAAAACAAGAAAAAAATCATTACCGGAAATTGGCTTGCAAATGTCAATGTTGCATAATAATATTTTGAGGGGGACTGGCCACCTCTTTCTCGGTAGTTGTTTGGTAGCTGCAGACAATTGTTTTTCATTACAAAAACAAAATCAAGTGTTTGTATTAAACTGCTTTTGCATGTTTTCAAGGCGTCTCATCATGCAAACTTTTCTAGGTTCTATTTTGTATTTTTTTCTAATTTTATCATTTTATATTGTTTGAATTTTTTTTGGTAATTTCCGTTTTATAATGTAAAAATTTTGCCAAAAAAAACAAGGCTTGTTTCTATGTATTTGGAAATTTTTGGCAATTTGCCGCCATAATATTCTATGCAAAACTGCCTTAAATATCTAAGACTAGAACAACAACAAAACAACAAAAATAATAACTTAAACAACATTTTAAGAAAACTTACATTTTCAGCAGAATGTGTCGAAAAGAGAGCAAGAGATAGACACGAGTGCTATGGAAGGTGAAATGACGACAGTGCAGTAAAGAGAAGATTTTAAGGTAATTCCACTTTTAAATACAAATAGTTGTTGCTATTGTTGTTGTTGTAAACAATAAATTACCTGCAAAGAAAAAGAAAGAGAGAGAGAGAGAAATTATAAATTAAAATATTGCTGTTTAAAAAATCAATCAAGATAAACATTAAATATGCAGAGGATTTTATATGTGTATAAAGTGTTGGTCTATTTAGCATACTTATAGGCTTAAGGTAGAAGAAATAAATGAAAAATTAAATTAAGGTTTCTGTTAAAAAGATTAAAGAGGAGAGAATCAGAAAAATTTAAGAATTATAAAATTAAACAATAACAATAGACTAGACTATAGACCAGACTACTGATTAGACTATTGACCAGACTACACACCAGACTATAGACAAGACTTTAGACCAGACTATAGACCAGACTATAGACCAGACTATAGACCAGACTATAGACCATCCTAAAAACCAGGCTATAGACCAGACTATAGACCAGACAATAGGCCAGACTATTGACTAAACCACAGACCAGACTATAGACTAAACCACATACCAGACTATTAACTAGACTATTGACTAGACTATAGACCAGACTATATACTAGACTATAGACCCGACTATAAACCAGACTATAGAGCAGATGGGAAAAATAGTGATCACAGATTTTCGTTCTTTTGACCCTAGCTCTTCTAGTTTAGCCAGAAAATGCAATTTTATGTTTTCACTCAAAAATTGGATTTTTGTTAGGAAATAGAGTGATCACAGATTTTCATTGTTTTGGCCCTAGCTCTTCTAGTTTAGCCAGAAAATGCAATTTTATGTTTTCCCTCAAAAATTGGATTTCTGATGGAAAATAGAGTGATCACAGATTTTCAGTGTTTTGGCCCTAGCTCTTCTAGTTTAGCCAGAAAATGCAATTTTATGTTTCCACTCAAAAATTGGATTTTTGGTAGGAAATAGAGTGATCACAGATTTTCGCTGTTTTTGCCCTAGCTCTTCTAGTTTAGCCAGAAAATGCAATTTTATGTTTTCACTCAAAAATTGGATTTTTGTTAGGAAATAGAGTGATCACAGATTTTCATTGTTTTGGCCCTAGCTCTTCTAGTTTAGCCAGAAAATGCAATTTTATGTTCTTATTCAAAAATTGAATTTTTGGTAGGAAATAGAGTGATCACAGATTTTCGTTGTTTTGGCCCTAGCTCTTCTAGTTTAGCCAGAAAATGCAATTTTATGTTTCCACTCAAAAATTGGATTTTTGGTAGGAAATAGAGTGATCACAGATTTTCGTTCTTTTGACCCTAGCTCTTCTAGTTTAGCCAGAAAATGCAATTTTATGTTTTCACTCAAAAATTGGATTTTTGTTAGGAAATAGAGTGATCACAGATTTTCATTGTTTTGGCCCTAGCTCTTCTAGTTTAGCCAGAAAATGCAATTTTATGTTTTCACTCAAAAATTGGATTTCTGATGGAAAATAGAGTGATCACAGATTTTCAGTGTTTTGGCCCTAGCTCTTCTAGTTTAGCCAGAAAATGCAATTTTATGTTTCCACTCAAAAATTGGATTTTTGGTAGGAAATAGAGTGATCACAGATTTTCGCTGTTTTGGCCCTAGCTCTTCTAGTTTAGCCAGAAAATGCAATTTTATGTTTTCACTCAAAAATTGGATTTTTGTTAGGAAATAGAGTGATCACAGATTTTCATTGTTTTGGCCCTAGCTCTTCTAGTTTAGCCAGAAAATGCAATTTTATGTTCTTATTCAAAAATTGAATTTTTGGTAGGAAATAGAGTGATCACAGATTTTCGTTGTTTTGGCCCTAGCTCTTCTAGTTTAGCCAGAAAATGCAATTTTATGTTTCCACTCAAAAATTGGATTTTTGGTAGGAAATAGAGTGATCACAGATTTTCGCTGTTTTGGCCCTAGCTCTTCTAGTTTAGCCAGAAAATACAATTTTATGTTTTCACTCAAAAATTGGATTTTTGTTAGGAAATAGAGTGATCACAGATTTTCAGTCTTTTGGCCCTAGCTCTTCTAGTTTAGCCAGAAAATGCAATTTTATGTTTTCACTCAAAAGTTGGATTTTTGGTTGGAAATAGAGTGATCACAGATTTTCGTTGTTTTGGCCCTAGCTCTTCTAGTTTAGCCAGAAAATGCAATTTGATGTTTTCACTCAAAAATTGGATTTTTGGTAGGAAATGGAGTGATCACAGATTTTCGTTGTTTTGGACCTAGCTCTTCTAGTTTGGGCAGAAAATGCAATTTTATGTTTTCACTCAAAAATTGGATTTTTGGTAGGAAATAGATTTTCATTCTTTTGGCCCTAGCTCTTCTAGTTTAGCCAGAAAATGCAATTATATGTTTTCACTCAAAAATTGGATTTTTGGTAGGAAATAGAGTGATCACAGATTTTCAGTCTTTTGGCCCTTGCTTTTCTAGTTTAGCCAGAAAATGCAATTTTATGTTTTCACTCAAAAATTGGATTTTTGATGAGAAATAGAGTGATCACAGATTTTCATTCTTTTGGCCCTAGCTCTTCTAGTTTAGCCAGAAAATGCAATTTTATGTTTCCACTCAAAAATTGTATTTTTGATGGGAAATAGAGTGATCACAGATTTTTATTGTTTTGGCCCTAGCTCTTCTAGTTTAGCCAGAAAATGCAATTATATGTTTTCACTCAAAAATTGGATTTTTTGGTAGGAAATAGAGTGATCACAGATTTTCAGTCTTTTGGCCCTAGCTCTTCTAGTTTAGCCAGAAAATGCAATTTTATGTTTTCACTCAAAAATTAGATTTTTGGTAGGAAATAGAGTGATCACAGATTTTCGTTGTTTTGGCCCTAGCTCTTCTAGTTTAGCCAGAAAATGCAATTTTATGTTTTCACTCAAAAATTGGATTTTTGGTAGGAAATAGAGTGATCACAGATTTTCATTGTTTTGGCCCTAGCTCTTCTAGTTTAGCCAGAAAATGCAATTTTATGTTTTCACTCAAAAATTAGATTTTTGGTAGGAAATAGAGTGATCACAGATTTTCATTGTTTTGGCCCTAGCTCTTCTAGTTTAGCCAGAAAATGCAATTTTATGTTTTCACTCAAAAATTGGATTTTTTGGTAGGAAATAGAGTGATCACAGATTTTCGTTGTTTTGGCCCTAGCTCTTCTGGTTTAGCCAGAAAATGCAATTTTATGTTTTCACTCAAAAATTGGATTTTTGGTAGGAAATAGAGTGATCACAGATTTTCAGTCTTTTGGCCCTAGCTCTTCTAGTTTAGCCTGAAAATGCAATTTTATGTCTTTACTCAAAAATTGGATTTTTGGTAGGAAATAGAGTGATCACAGATTTCCAGTCTTTTGGCCCTAGCTCTTCTAGTTTAGCCAGAAAATGCAATTATATGTTTTCACTCAAAAATTAGATTTTTGGTAGGAAATAGAGTGATCACAGATTTTCAGTCTTCGTTGTTTGGCCCTACCTCTTCTAGTTTAGCCAGAAACCGCAATTTTATGTTTCCACTAAAAAATTGGATTTTTGGTAGGAAATAGAGTGATCACAGATTTTCAGTCTTTTGGCCCTAGCTCTTCTAGTTTAGCCAGAAAATGCAATTATATGTTTTCACTCAAAAATTAGATTTTTGGTAGGAAATAGAGTGATCACAGATTTTCATTCTTTTGACCCTAGCTCTTCTAGTTTAGCCAGAAAACGCAATTTTATGTTTTCACTAAAAAATTGGATTTTTGGTAGGAAATAGAGTGATCACAGATTTTCAGTCTTTTGGCCCTAGCTCTTCTAGTTTAGCCAGAAAATGCAATTTTATGTTTCCACTCAAAAATTGGATTTTTGGTAGGAAATAGAGTGATCACAGATTTTCATTGTTTTGGCCCTAGCTCTTCTAGTTTAGCCAGAAAATGAAATTTTATGTTTTCACTCAAAAATTGGATTTTTGGTAGGAAATAGAGTGATCACAGATTTTCGCTGTTTTCGCCCTAGCTCTTCTAGTTTAGCCAGAAAATGCAATTTTATGTTTTCACTCAAAAATTGGATTTTTGTTGGGAAATAGAGTGATCACAGATTTTCGTTGTTTTGGCCCTAGCTCTTCTAGTTTAGCCAGCAAATGCAATTTTATGTTTTCACTCAAAAATTGGATTTTTAGTAGGAAATAGAGTGATCACAGATTTTCATCGTTTTGGCCCTAGCTCTTCTAGTTTAGCCAGAAAACGCAATTTTATGTTTTCACTCAAAAATTGGATTTTTGGTAGGAAATAGAGTGATCACAGATTTTCGCTGTTTTCGCCCTAGCTCTTCTAGTTTAGCCAGAAAATGCAATTTTATGTTTTCACTCAAAAATTGAATAATTATTGGGAAATAGAGTGATCACAGATTTTCGTTGTTTTGGCCTTAGCTCTTCTAGTTTAGCCAGAAAATGCAATTTTATGTTTTCAATAAAAAAATGGATTTTTAATGGGAAATAGAGTGATCACAGATTTTCATTCTTTTGGCCCTAGCTCTTCTAGTTTAGCCAGAAAATGCAATTTTATGTTTTCACTCAAAAATTGGATTTTTAGTAGGAAATAGAGTGATCACAGATTTTCATCGTTTTGGCCCTAGCTCTTCTAGTTTAGCCAGAAAATGCAATTTTATGTTTTCAATAAAAAAATGGATTTTTGATGGGAAATAGAGTGATCACAGATTTTCGCTGTTTTCGCCCTAGCTCTTCTAGTTTAGCCAGAAAATGCAATTTTATGTTTTCACTCAAAAATTGGATTTTTGTTGGGAAATAGAGTGATCACAGATTTTCGTTGTTTTGGCCCTAGCTCTTCTAGTTTAGCCAGCAAATGCAATTTTATGTTTTCACTCAAAAATTGGATTTTTAGTAGGAAATAGAGTGATCACAGATTTTCATCGTTTTGGCCCTAGCTCTTCTAGTTTAGCCAGAAAACGCAATTTTATGTTTTCACTCAAAAATTGGATTTTTGGTAGGAAATAGAGTGATCACAGATTTTCGCTGTTTTCGCCCTAGCTCTTCTAGTTTAGCCAGAAAATGCAATTTTATGTTTTCACTCAAAAATTGAATAATTATTGGGAAATAGAG